AGCAAATGTCCTGGGTTCAAATCTCAGGTGTACCTATAATGAACTGCGTGACCTTATGCCAGTTAGTGAATGCCTCTGTGCCTCAGCTTTCTCATTTACACAAATGGGGTGGTAATAACAGAATTTATCTCAGAGAGTAGTTGTGAGGATTCAATGAGTTAATTATTTGCCAAATGCCCACAACAGTGACTAGCCCCTGGTAAGTGTTGAGTCCATGTTTTATACAGAATACAGTTAAGTGGAATTACTTATCTTTTTTATCTTGTTGAACTGTATCAGCCACCCTAAAATTTTCTAGAACAAAATGACAGAGTGCACAGTATCTGAGAGTACAGGGTTTGGAGCCCAAGAAACTAATGATTTAATCCAAAGTTGTGACTTTTATCTGCTCTGAGAATATAAATAAATCTTAAAAGTGCTTTGAAACTTGGAATCCTCCTCTGTAAAATGAGGCTAATAACTGTACCTGCCTCCTAGAGAATTGTTGTAAGAACTAAGGAAGTGATGAGATGCAAAGGACTTGGGTCAGTTCAGAGTAAACACTCAGACAATACCTCTGAAAGTAATTGACAATTGTGAAACAATTGTTGGCAGTATTAAGCAAACACATAAATCCTGTGCCAAGAATGGAGAAACTGAAATGGATTTAGAAATAAAGTAAGCTTGCAACCTGGTAGAAAACTTGCGATCTATAATGGCGTCAAACCGGGCCTCTCAGTAAGTGCGCCCTCACCCGTGCGGTGAGGGAATTGCAGAACGAGTCTTGCAGAGATAAAGGCACAAACCTGCCTACTTCAACTCCAGATGAAATTCCATGCAAGTTGACTTTCAGCTCTGTTTTCTCTCATTCAGGTCTCTGTTGTGCATTGTGAGAAAAGACTGATCATAAGACAGAAAATGTCACTTAAGAAACTTCAGGGTTGAAATAGTGAAAACGGAGCCAGGCTTCGTGGCAGTCATCAGAACCCTTGTCTATCAAAGTAGAAAAACCAACCCTCCAGATTGAAATAAGAAGCTATCCTTCCAGTGCCAAACTCACCAGGGCCCAGCATTGGATATATGAGAACCCCGCCACGGTGGGTTCGGTCTGTCCTGCAGCAAAAAATCCCATAATCTTAGGATGAGCTAAGGCTGCTTTAAGCAGCTCAGGCCACAGGTTTTAGCCATGTTGTTCTTAATGCAGCTGTGAGAGCCTTTTGGTTATTCTCAAACAAATAACCAAAACAACCTCTTTATTTGGTTGGGGAGCAAGCAGACAAAGATTAGAATAATGTTTCCTAAACCGAGTCCTAGCTAGTCCTAGTCCTAAACCGAGTCCTTACTACTCAAAATGCTGTTACCGGCCCAGCAGAATGCTCAAACAAATGTTAATATGCATAAAAAAATACAAAGGTTTCTTGAAAAATATGTGGATTCTGAGTCCCAAGATCTAGTGTGGAGCTTAAAGTCCTTCATGTCTACCCAACTATCCATCAGTGCTGCAAGTCTACTGTAAGCCTTGCTGCTCCTAGTATGGTTCAGCTGACTTCGCTTGGGATGCACATTCTCTGTGCATGCTTCCGAATCAGCATCTGCATTTCAGCAAGACCCTCTACCTCTCCTGCCCCCAGCAGTTTATGTGTACATGAAAATTTCAGAAACACTGTTCTAGAACGTATGGGAATCCATTCCCCCCAAGCGTTTGGTTACACAATGTAGCTATCTCTGGTACACAAAACTCCTCAGATATGTTATCTTGCAATAGCTAACTCCAGAGCACTGTGTCCGTGTTCCTTCCAGTCCTTTTCCACTTTCACACACAATGCTTTCACTTCCAACAGCCAGGACCCTTGTCTCTTTGTTGGCTGCTCCCTCTGGATCTGAAACCCCCTTTGCCTACTATCAAGGAAACCAGGAAGTGCCTGGGGATTTCCACCCTCTCCAGCAACCCTTAACCAAGACTAACAGGCATGGGCATTGCCACACTCCAGCTCCCTTGTTCTTCATCAAAAATTCAACTTGAATTGTGGTCTATATCAGGATGGAGAAAGCCAAAGTTACTATCTGCCTTCTTCCTTCTTCCTTCAACCCTTCTACCCTTTTCCCTTTCCAGTCCTGCTCAATCCCCTATAAAGTTGCCAGAAAACCCTTCATAATAAACCCATTCCTCATAAATCCCTGTCTCAGGGTCTGCTTCTGAGGAAACCAAAGTAAGACACATGCTGTTTCAGCTCAGTGTGATATAGACTGAGACCAGCACCCAACCAAGAGTTGGGTGATTTCTAAAGTTGCCTTGGTCACTGCGTTAGTCCCTGAATCCTTGGCATAATCCCTGGGTTACATCTTTAGAACATCTCGAAAAGCTGCAGAAAGCCAATGAATTCTAGGAATTCCACACTTGGAAATTTAGATGCTCACATTCTGAGAATGTGATGAAAGTAAATTACACTTGACTTGCTGAATGAGCTAACTGGCTGTGTGGTAAATGTGATGATGCTGTCCTTCAACTGGTTTTATAAAGGATCCATAAAAAGAGCTAAGGATCCAGCAGACCTGCACTGACCAAATGCTATAGCCACAGCCACCAGCTACCTGTGGCTAACTGAGTACTTGGAAGGTTGCCAGTGCAAACTGAGATGGGCTGTAAATGTAAATTCCATACCTCACTTCAAAGAGTAAGCACATAAAAAGAATATAAAATATCTCAATTTTATGTTGATTACATGATTAGTCATGCTTATGAAATATTAGCTAAAATAAAATATATATTAAAATTATTTTCACCTGTTTTCTTCTACTATTTTTTTAAGATTTTATTTATTTATTTGACAGATAGAGAGAGACCACAAGGGGGCAGAGAGGCAGGCAAAGAGAGAGGGGGAAGCAGGCTCCCTGCTGAGCAGAGAGCCCGACTTAGGGCTTGATCCCAGTACTCTGAGATCACGACCTGAGCCGAGGGCAGTCGCTTAACCAACTGACCACCCAGGCGCCCCTTCCTCTACTCTTTTAATGTGGCTACTAGAAATTTTTAAATGATATATGTAGCTCACATTGGTATTTCTATTGAGCTGGATATAATAAGGACCTTACCTTTCAACCTAAAAGGTCAGACCCAGTTTAAATTTCCCCAACTCTTCATAATGCCTTCACTTCTACTGGTGTGGAATTGGCTCCCAATAAACATACAAAATGGTACACTGCCCTCAATTACAGATGCTTTTACTGATGCATAAAGTTGTCATGGAGGTGGAAATGTCTAAAGTTTGACCCTTAACTCAGAAACTATTTTGCCAGAAACATATTGTAAAACCCAGTACTAGTAGTTACTACTCTTAATTTAAAATGATCAAATTTGAAGGGTGCTTGGGTGGCTCAGTGGGTTAAGCCTCTACCTTCGGCGCAGGTCATGATCTCATGGTCCTGGAATTGAGCCCCACAACGGGCTCTCTGCTCAGCAGGGAGCCTGCTTCCCCCTCTCTCTTTGCCTGCCTCTCTGCCTACTTGTGATCTCTCTCGCTCTGTCAAATAAATAATTAAAAATCTTTAAACATTTTTAAAAAATGCTTTACTTACAAAAAAATAATAAAATGATCAAATTTGAAGAAATTTATTTTAAAGCTGTTAAAAAGTTATTCCAATGCTTCTGTTCTTATACATAGAGTTTAGTGATCAAATATTTTGCTTCACTCACAATTACTCTGTGCCGTGTCTTCCAAGTCCTCCACCCATGGTATATAGAGGTTAAGGCCTCCTAAATTCTCTCCTAAACTGGGAGAGCTTCCTAACTGAGTTTCTTCTTTTTGGTTTCTCAGCCTCAACTCCATTCTTCACATGGCCACCAGATAACCTCCCCAACACGCAATCTGGCCTCAGTTCTCCTCATCACCCATCCTGAAAAGGGGCCTTCAGTAAATCTCATTTCTTGCTAAATTATCTCCAGATAACTCAACAGACTTGAAAGCTCTCCATACTCTGCCCCCAGCTCTACTTTTCTCATTACAACTTGCCCTCTTTTCCCTATTCCTACTAGACTCCTCCCCATTCCCTCTGAGTCCTACTATGTGTGCTTACCTCTGGTTTTTCTCCCAGATAGTCTTCTTTGCTTAGAATTCCCTCTTCCCTCCTTCAGCACTTTATTCTACAAGTCATACCTCAAATGTTACTATAATGCATGATGGTATATTATCAATGCCTTAAATCAGGAGGCAAAACACAGAAGACCAGCAAAACAACAGAAGAAATAATACAATTAGATGGAAAAGCTGTTGAACTAAAAAAACATATGGTTTCTTTGCCCTCATGTCGTCTCTTAAAGAGTTGGGGGGGGGGGGCGTGGGCAGAATGTTAATTTTGTGTTCAAAACCATCACTCAAAATGGAATTTCAATTTTTTTGTGTGGATTTGCTGTTTTCCATTTTCTTGGAAGCCAAGTGAGATCACTGGTGAGTGGTGTGAGGTAGGGATTAAGATTAGGGGAGTAGTGAGGGACTGACAGAACCGGGAGGAGGGAGACTGTGATGTTGTGACTGCAACTGGTTTTGAGACCTTCTAGAACTGTAATTAACATTTAAAGGTTCCCTGTTATAGCTGCTTTGGCTTGAGTAGTAAAGCAGGAAGATTACATCTACAGGTGTATATATATATATATATATATATAAAATATATTTGACTATATTTTCAACGTTTTTATAACTCTTTATCTTTTTATAATGCTAGGAAACTAGCAAAAGTACTTGGTTAATAAAAGACAGTGTGCCAGTTCCCTGTCAATAGGGATTTTTAAAAGCAGACTCTGTTTATGTGTAAAGAACATTTCCTTAGAAAGGAGCAGTAACTCAGGGATTTGAATTTAATTATGTCATTTTTACAAGAAAGAAAGAAGGAAAGGAGAGAAAGAAAGAAAGAAAATACCTTAGGCATACAAATTGAACTAATTTGCCTTCCTGGTAGCCTAGCTAAAAACATGTGCCTAATTACTGGAGAGTATTTAAGCTAATGCAAGTGTGATTTACATCTTTCAGGAGTGGACAAATGAGGTTTTCAGTTTGGCAACAAACCTGCTGGCCCAAAATATGTCAAGAGACGCATTTCTGGAAAAAGCGTAAGTAGCTCTAATTTTATTACTAAGGGTGTTGCTTCTTCTGAGTCAGTTTCCTTTCTCCTTTGTGAGTCTTTTGTTTATACTGCACTGGCTTCGCACATTGATAAACATAAACTTCCCTTTGGGATTTGTTAGAGAACTGATACCTCCACTGTTTGGAATTGGAAAACTTCCAAGAAAGATCACTCTTTTCCTCCTAGCTGCACATCCGTGTTAGGCTGAGCTCCCCGAATGTCAGTGTCTTTGACACACAATAAGGAGACACGTCCAAATCCCGACAGCTGTGCTCAGAACCAAAAATTATTAATTTCAAAGAACCCTTCCTTTCTACATATGCCTGTGTCATATCAACTATTGACCTGACAAAGGGAAAGAGGAACATACGGTACTCATTTCTCTCAAGTCTTAGATCTCTGATAGATGCTATACTAACTTCCCTCCCTACCTAAATCAGTAGGCTGATGTCCTGATTCCTGCCCTTAGACCACCACAGAAAGTGGTAGTAAGAAAAGAGAAAAAGATGTGGAGGAAGGCACAGAATGAAAAGAAGAAGGAAAGAGAAGCAAAGCAGGATTACCCAATCACTCTGGAATTACACAGTCTTTCTAAAAATAATTTGACCAGGGAAAATAATGATTTTTGCCAAACGAGCAGCAAGGAAAACTGGCTGTGTTCACTTTGGAAGCTATGGATGGCCAGGAGGTTGGGAAGCCTTGAAATCAAAACCACAAGTGCAAATGTTACTAGGTGGTCCTCTATTTTATTACCTTTTTCTTTTCCCTCTTCTTCTATAAGACATACCCATCATTCTAGACCTAAGACTCCAGCCTACATTTCTTTCTTACTCTTCCGTGAATTTCTTTTACTGTTAGTACTTCATAGGTCTTCACTTAAATGTTTTTTTCATGTGATCATCTCCTCTATAGTTTGTCACCTTGAGGACCCTTCTAATGCTTTCCCCTAATCCCTTCCTTTCTTCTTTCTTTTTACCGACTTTGATTTTACCATCCTTCATCTAACAGATGTTTCTAGAACATCTGTTGTGCCAGGAGGTATTAGTGGAAAGAGACACAGAGATAAAGAAGACGTCTTATCTGAAACATCACTTGTTATAGCTAGTAAAACCTCTAGTTGGCTAATCATTGATTGCAAATGTCCCTTTCCAACAAGTGTCTCCCTATGAATGGCTGCTATGGACATTCTAGAACATGCCTTTTGGTGAATACATCATAAGCATTTCTGCATATACATATAGATGTGGGATTGATGGGTCATACGCAGTTTCCTAAAGTGGTAATCCCAGTCCACACACCCATTAGCAGCGTTCAAAAGTTCCATCCAATCAAGAAATGGGCAGAAGACATGAACAGACATTTCTGCAAGGAAGACATCCAGATGGCCAACAGACACATGAAAAAGTGCTCCACATCACTCGGCATCAGGGAAATACAAATCAAAACCACAATGAGATACCACCTCACACCAGTCAGAATGGCTAAAATTAACAAGTCAGGAGATGACAGATGCTGGCGAGGATGCGGAGAAAGGGGAACCCTCCTACACTGTTGGTGGGAATGCAGGCTGGTGCAGCCACTCTGGAAAACAGCATGGAGGTTCCTCAAAGTGTTGAAAATAGAGCTACCCTATGACCCAGCAATTGCACTGCTGGGTATTTACCCTAAAGATACAAACGTAGTGATCCAAAGGGGCACGTGCACCCGAATGTTTATAGCAGCAATGTCTACAATAGCCAAACTATGGAAAGAACCTAGATGTCCATCAACAGACGAATGGATAAAGAAGATGTGGTATATATACACAATGGAATACTATGCAGCCATCAAAAGAAATGAAATCTTGCCATTTGCGACGACGTGGATGGAACTAGAGGGTATCATGCTTAGCGAAATAAGTCAATCGGAGAAAGACAACTATCATATGATCTCCCTGATATGAGGGAGAGGAGATGCAACATGGGGGGTTAAGGGGGTAGGAGAAGAGTAAATGAAACAAGATGGGATTGGGAGGGAGACAAACCATAAGTGACTCTTAATCTCACAAAACAAACTGAGGGTTAATGGGGGGGTGTGGGGGGGTGGGATTATGGACATTGGGGAGGGTATGTGCTATGGTGAGTGCTGTGAAGTGTGTAAACCTGGCGATTCACAGACCTGTACCCCTGGGGATAAAAAGATATTATATGTTTATGAAAAATAAAATTAAAAAAAAAAAAAAAAAAAAGTTCCGTCGCTCTGTCTCTATCCACGTCGCTAAGCAGTCAAAGAGATAAACACAGTAGCTATGATGACACAATCAAATACTTTGCAGTGAGAGTGAGTGATCTTCAGCTATAAGCAAAACATGAGAATGGATCTCAAAAACATAATATTAAATGAAAGAAGCCAGACACAAAAGAATGTGATTCCGCTTATATAAAGTGCAAAATTGGCCGAAAAGGTTATCTATGTTGTTTGAAGTCAGAATAATGGTTCCCTCTGTGGGCCAGGCTCTGCCAAGGGGCACATGAAGGCTTCTGGAATAATGCTAAAGTGAGAAGGCTCTATTTCTTGATCTGGGTGCAGGCTGCAGAGACCTGAACAGTTTGTTGAGATTCAGCAAACGGTACATACGGATGAGCCCTTTCTTATGTGTATTATTCTTTAATAGACAGCTTTTTAAAGATTAAGTACTTGTTTTTCTGCTTCTCCAACAGCTATACTAAACTTAAGCTGCAAGTCACTCCAGAAGGGCGCATTCCTCTCAAAAAGTAAGCTACGGGAGCATTTCCCAATCAGTGTTCATGTTATTTTCTCAAAGATTTGATTCCGTGCCATGGCTCTGTTTTGTTTCTCCACTGGCCCAAGTGGGAGCCTGAGAATACATGGTAACCCCGTTCTCCCTCACGCTCCATGCTCACATCAGTGCAGCTGGTTTCCTCATAAAGATTTTCCTGTGGCATCATTTTTAAGAAACAACAAAGCAGGAAGAGAGGGGAAAGGGTGGGGGAAATGTACTGTTAAACCCAAAAGGCCATTTGAGATTCAGATATGCTCTAGGAATGGCAATCGGGTGACTTCAGCGCCTTTCTCTACCAAGATGATGCTAGCGTCGAAGGAGGGGCTGCGAACTCAAATGTCAAGAGCAGGAATGAAGCCCCATCCAGAGGAGACAACGATAATTCAACTCTACCATATTCCTTGTGGGACTGATGGGGTCTAGACGCTAGATTTTGTCGTGTTTCAATAGATCCCATAAATTCAAATTCTTATATTCAATTCTATTTTTAATGTAATATTTAAACTCTATTTGTCAATAAATTGACCACTGTTTTATTGAAGTACAGTTGATATACATAAATTTTATTTTGCAGAACCAAATTACTGACCAAAGAAAACACATGCTCAACCTTTATCCTTTGACCTGCTAGCTACCAGTAGCAGGCTCCCGCTCATTACAATGTTAAATTATTCTTAATAATAGTAGTAACTACTTGTTTCTTAATAATATTAATAATTTATACCTTTAGAGCAAGAGGTAGCAGCCAAGAGACAGAGTTACCCAGGATATGTTTTAGTGCTTAGAGGCTATTTAGTGTGATGTTTTTTAATTGGGTCATCAACTTTGCCTCAAGACGTTGATTTTATATTTGCTGTTTCATTTTTTTAAAGAGCACGTACATAGGTCTTTTAGAGCCTATCCGCAGATGCATGGAGCGGTGGATATCTTAAATGACAAAAGGGTTTGAATTCAATGGGATACGTTGGGTTGGTGTCATCCAGAAGCGTATGACCAATGTGTCACTGTGGTGATTTCACTCCACAGCATATACCGCTTGTTCTCAGCAGACCGGAAGCGAGTTGAAACTGCTTTAGAGGCCTGTAGTCTTCCATCTTCAAGGGTGAGCATGTTGCCTTTCTAAACTTAGCACTACTCAATACCTGTGAATAATCATACTGAAATATAACTTGCCCCCATATTACCCAAACACTTTTTTAAAGTAAGAAGACCATAAGACTCTCTTAATATTTACAATACATGGAGCCACCATAGTTATATTTTCTTTCATTCCCATAAACCCAATATGTTGATCCAGAAAGACCCTGGTTCTTTGTAAATAATGATTTTTCAAAACCATCTGGTATAAAAAGGTATGAGCCAAAAGGTATTATTATTAAGAATTTAAATTTCTCCTTAATAACAAATATTTTGTTGATGTTCCTGGAGATGTTAGCTAGGAATTATGGATTATGATTAGGAAGATATTTGAAATACAGATTTCATCATATTCCAGCCTTTTTAAATATCTGGTTTTACGATGTGTAAGTTAATACACAATTAACATGGTAGCACATGTTTGGACATAAATATATCGACATACTCTGCAGGGCTGTGCTTACAAAGTTTTTGCTGGGAGGGGTGCAGGATCAGTTTGGAAACCACCTACTTTGCTCGTATGGTGGTAAAGTGGATGAGAGGAAAGCCAGGTATCATGCTTTTTTTTTTTTTAGGCCCAACACATTGGAGGCATTCCAAAAATGTTGCCCACCCAAATTATTTTGCCTTCATTTCAATGCATTTCTATGTAACTGGCTCTAAAATTATTTGTTACCATCGTTTCTGGGAGAGTGCAGTCTGTTGTATAAAACCTTTTTCTCAGGCTATATGCAGAACTCGCTTTTCTATTGCAAATTATTTTTATCCTAGTATCTAAGCAACAAGTAAGCTCTTTCCCAAGGATAGCACTTACACTATAGGGAGAAACTTTGAGCCTCTTGGAACACTCTGTCAATGTTCAAGTTGCACTGAAAAAAGTTAAGAAGCCATTGCTAAACTTATCGTTAGGTTATGAAAAAGCATTGAGTGCTATTATTAAATGTGTTAGCCTATTCTTGTGCATACTTTTCAGAAAAGTGAAGTTTATTAAGGACTTTGGTAGGTAACTAAAAGAAAAGAAAGAGTGCTCCCCCACTCTCAGTTTCCTCTTATTAGGGGAGAGGGCTGGTGATGCTGCCAACATTGGACAGACATGGTGGGGCTCCCCCAAACACTTTTTTAAATTTTATTTATTTGACAGATAGAGATCACAAGTAGGCAGAGAGGCAGGCAGAGAGAGAGAGGGACGCAGGCTCCCCGCTGAGCAGAGAGCCCGACGTGGGGCTCGATCCCAGGACCCTGAGTTCATGACCTGAGCCGAAGGCAGAGGCTTAACCCACTGAGCCACCCAGGCGCCCCTCCCCCAACCATTTTAACCTGCACTTTTATAAGCAAAATAAAATGAGTGAACTTATTACTGCTCTTTCCTAGATGCTTTGGGATAGGATGGATATGCCAGTTAAGGTCCCATCATTTGCTCAACAAATATTTCTTGAGCTCTTACTACCTGCCCTCAGGCACTGAGAATGTTAGTTGTGGGCAAAATACAGTCCCAGGACTCAAGGACCACAGAGTTTCTGGGGGTGCTCCTCAAACACGTGGAGTGACACAAGGGTAAATGAGTGGGGTGAGGAGTGGTGCGGTGAGCAAAAGGAATGGTGTGGCCATTGTAAAAGAGGATCATTCGAGAAAAAGAAAACCACGTGTGCAAAGCCCTGAGGATGGAAAGAATTCACCAGTCTGAGTGACAAAAAAGACCTCTGCATTTAAGCATAAAAAGGAAGCTTGAGAGATGAATAGAAAGACATGAAAAGAATTTTTTTTCCTCTGCAATTGCTCCTGGTTGTACCTTTACTGGATAACATCTTGTGAATATAATGACCAAAAATTTTAACTTATTTTGAATCTAGCTAAGAGAAAGAAAGAATAGAAAATAAAGCTGAATAGAAAATCAAATCCATCAACCAATTCTCTGCAAATTGCAATTTTCTGAACAATTGGATTCTGACAATTCAGTCAATAAATATAAATTGAGTTTTTACAACCCATTATGTCTATTATAGGTTCATGCTTTCAGACCAATATCAACTGGAGACATTTTTAAAAGAAAATGAGATTCAAATAACAGGAGTTATGTTTAAATTGAAAAAAATATATTTATCTTTAGTAAATTAGATGTTATGACAATTTTCTGAAAACAAATTGGAGATTTTTTTAAAAAGAGAATCAACCTCCATCATGAAATCTTTAAAGATCATTATTCATAGTAAAGTATATTTACTTCAAGGACTTAGGACTTGTAGAATTAGGATGCTTTCAAAAGATCTAAAAACCAAAGACAATTTCAGAGCTAGGAAGTAAATGTTTCCCTAAACTGAGTGATATTTTAAATCCTTGTTGTAGTTTCATATCTACAGAAGAGCGGTTCTAGAAAATATCTACTAATTAGCAAAAAAGATTCTGGATACACTGACAAGAGGTGTTTTAAACACTCCACAGAAGAAAAGGTTACATAAATGGTAGATAGGGCTGCATATCTGGGAACCTTATTTCATAGCCAGTGGTCGTTCAGACTAGATTGAATTGTGTTCTGTAAATAGATACATTACCAGAAACACAGTGGATATCCTGTTGAGATTTTTAAAACATTATCTTTGCGCACATTGTTAGGGATAATTAATGCACTTGAAGTTGTATCCTGGCCAATGCAATCCACTGGAATAACACATTCCTTTAGAGGGTACTCCTTTAGAGATTACAGTTGCTTGCCAAAGTTACCTTAATTGTTAAAAAGTAGCACTGTATCTAAAAAGAGAAACAAAGCAATTACTGTCCTTCTATTAATAATCCAAACATATTTTCCAGGGAGATCTTTGGAGACCTTTCCATATTATTCAGAAAAATTATCATTTTTAAAAGGTTTTATTTATTTATTTGACAGAGAGAGATCACAAGTAGGCAGAGAGGCAGGCAGAGAAAGAGGGGGAAGCAGGCTCCCCGCTGAGCAGAAAGCCCAACATGGGGCTCGATCCCAGGACCCTGAGATCATGACCTGAGCTGAAGCAGAGGCTTTAACCCACTGAGCCACCCAGGCGCCCCAGAAAAATTACCATTTTACCCACAAACTTTCTGAGAACTGGAAGTAGTTTACTTGTACCAAATTCCCCTTGATTTCAGGCTTGTGACCTTGAAAACAGCTCAGTGACATTTCAGGTTGTATTACAGTCATCACATAGCACTGGCACTTTAATGAACAAGATAGGAATAAATACATGGACGGTTGACCCCAGAACAACACGGATTTAAACCCTACAGGTCCACTTACATATGGATTTTTTCAGTAAATATAGTACAGGATTATAAATGTATTTTCTCTTCCTTATGATTTTCTTAATAATACTTTATTTTCTCTAGGCTATGTCATTGTAAGAATACCATATAGAATATATATATAACATACAAAATCCGTGTTAATCGACTACTAATGTTATAAGTAAGGCTCCCAATCAACAGTATTAGTAAAGTTTTGGGGGGAATCGAACGTTCCACATGGATTTTTGACTTTGTGGCAGGGTGTCAACACCCCCAAACCCCTGCATTGTTCAAGGGTCAAGTGTTTTTGCTTTAAATGATAAAGCTTACTGTAGTTATAAACTATTATGTAATACCAAGGAAAGCAGTGATTGTTTTGGATTTACCAAAGGGGGCACCAGGATGGCTCAGTAGGTTAAGTGTGAGACTCTTGGTTTCTGCTTAGATCAAGAACTCAGGGTCATGAGATCAATCCCTGTATCAAGCTCCACTCAGGACAGAGTCTGCTTGAAATTCTCTCCCTCCCCCTCTGTCTCTCCTTGCTTGTGCTCGCTTTCTCTCTCTCTCTCAAATAAGTAAAGTCTTAAAAAAAAAAAAAGAGTACCATAAATTTTACTGAAGAATACAATAAACCAAACATAAAGAAACTTTTTCCAGGAAGGCTATAATATGTTGCCTTTCTCCTATGCCACAGACCCAGAATATACATCCAAAATACAATCATTTATGTAGTTGTGACTCTTAAAATCCCTAATATCAAAATTCTATCTTTAAACCACACTATGAATTTGCTTTATTATAGTAATTTACTTGTAATTATATCATGTACTCTATGGTTAACTCAACTTTTGCCTTACAGCTTTAGAACAAAAATATTGAGAATAAGTTGATGTGAACACTTAGTTTGTTGGATTACAGTGTGAGTTATGGAATCAAACAACCTGCATTCAAAGCCATAGGAGCTCCATACACACACACACACACACACACACACACACACACACACACACACACTTGGGACTTTAGACAGGCTTTGTAAGCAGCCATGTCCCTAGTGTTTGCATCTGAAAAGGGTCACAACCACCTAGAGGTGACATGGGATCAAACAAAAACATAAGTTCCATATGTGTGGCACCCAGTAAATGCTCAGTAAATATTCTTTTCCTCTGAGGATTTTTTCATTTGCATATATGTAGGGTTTTTTTTCCTTCTTTCTTATTTTTTTTTTAAAGATTTTATTCATTTATTTGACAGACGAAATCACAAGTAGGCAGAGAGGCAGGCAGAGAGAGGAGGAGGCAGGCTCCCCACTGAGCAGAGAGCCCATTGCCGGGCTCAATCCCTTGACCCCAGGTTCATGACCTGAGCCGAAGGCAGAAGCTTTAACCACTGGGCCACCCAGGTGCCCCACCCTTTCTTATTTTTAATTTAACATGTGGATATGTCATAACTAGATCTATGGAATCTGGAAATACAAATGCCATCAGTACTGCCATCAAATTTCAAAAGAATCTTTTCCCTTTTGGGATTCTTTGTATCCAAGCATGGAATTGAAGCAATGTCATTTTTAAAGTTTACCAATACCTCACGATTTCTGAAATAAATGGGCCTGAATCAGACTATATTACCCTTCTTAATTATCCCTCCAAAAATTTCTGGTAACAATAGCAATAAGTAATCACTGATGATCTGTTTTGTATTGGAAGCATGATGTGGTGAGCCAAGTCTTAGACTACAAGCAAAAGACCTAAGGTTGGGTCCTATGTCGTGGGTTCACCAGCAGACATTGATTGGGTAACTGTTATATGCCTGGTGGCATGTTTCGGACACAAAGGAATTAAAGAAGAGATAGTGACTTCACTCAAAAACTCATAGTCTAGTAGAAAATCAGAAATATAAAAAATATGGGGAAAATTGTATGATAGATTCTGTAATAAAAATATATAAATGTGGATTGTGAACACAAAAGAATATGCCACCTTTAGTTAGTGTGGTCAGGCAGGATTAGAGAAGAGTGAACACTGGGTATGATCTTCCAAGTGCTGGACTGAGGGCTTCCTCCTGCTCAGATAGAACACAATGACTCTGTTCCATCCACTTCACCAAATCATGAGATCCAGGAAAAGAAAATATGTAAATGAAATTTGTGAATTTCAGCCTTGTTTAAGATGTAAGGAATTAGGACTTGTCAATAGCTTTTCCACAGATACCTCCCCAAACCCTTTCAGTTCAGCTTTCAGTGATACTCATTTTTACTCATGTCTCCAAAAATATTTCTTCTGTTTTCCTACATCAACTTTAAAAGCTTTTGGGTATCCTCATCAGTCAAGTTGGACAAAGAAAAAAGAGACAAAGAAAGTCAGCTGTATTGAAATGGTTTCTTTTCTATGTGCTAACAGCTAACTGGCAATGAAAATAATATCGTGTTTATTTAGATTATCTCGTTAATTTTTCCTCTTTAATAAGAAGTCCTAATCCACAGCTGGCAAATAAACAATGGTTAGAGTTTCAGGAAAGCATACTGTTCTATGAAATTATGTGTATGAAATCTTATATAAATGACTTCAGTTGAATCTGATATCCCATGGGAATTCTGTTCTATCAATTTCTACCTTTCTCATAATGTACATTTATTTACCTAGTAAATATTTATTGTGGACGTATTATGTGTCACACTGGAAATCTAGCAATTAACAAGCAACACACAAGTCCTAGCTTGTGTAGTTCTGCATGTTACTAAGAAACAGAGCCATACAGCTGGGAGCACAATATAGTTACAGTGTTGAAATACCACACCAGTGAAATGTAATGGTAGCCCAGAAAGAAAGACAAAACCCAAGGCAGGAGAAAGAGGTTTTAAGCTAACAGAAGAAGAGAGAAAAAAATAAAAGTTCAGTAAGACTCAAGTATATCGATCCTGCGTTGGACCACTGATATGTAATGGACCTCTCTGTGTATACTGCTACACATGTTGTTTGGTTATCTCAAAATTCTGTTTTGCAAAGTAGACTTTTTTCCAGCTCCATAAACGGATTTAGTAAAGGAAGTATTATTTTATTCATTCGTTCCACAAATATGAGACTCCTGCTGTTTGCCAAGTGGTGAGCTAACTTCTCTTATCTATTAGCAGGCAGGGTACAATTTCAGAGAACAAATTTAGGTGTTTCTATAAAAGTACATTTCAAAACATATGCACTTGGTAAAAGGAAGGGATTTTGGTTTTTTTGTTTTTTGGGTTTTTTTTTTCATTTAAGGGCTTGAACATAAAAATAATTATATAAACACATACCTGAAATAAGAAAACAGCATGAAGAATGTCTTTCCTGTTAACAAAGCCTTGAATACATGCTTCCGGTTTCCATGGCAGCCAAACTAAAAAAAAAACAAGTCCAGAAATGACTTTTTATATCAATGACTTGCTTCCCAAACAGTAAGACCAAGAGGAATCAGTGAGAAATAATGACTAGTGCTCTCCTACTTACAAAAACTGTTCTATAATTTATCAGGTTACTTAAACTGGAAGGAACATTGTTTGAAAAAAAAAAAAGATACAAAATTGGAATTTATGTTTTCATTTTGAAAATGTCTGTTTCCAGGTTCTTTGCTCTTGAAAAAAAATTATTCAAACATCTGCTAAATAGCCTATAAACAATGTGAATATGCTTCATGCCACTGTACACTTAAAAATGGCTAAAATGGTCATTTTTATGGTGTGTATATTTTATAACAATTTTTTTAAAAGATTAAAACTAAAAAAGAAAAAAGCAACCTAACAAAAATCTGCAGTACAGACCCTGGTTTTGCTAGGTCTAACTTACTTAGTAAACGTACTTTAAAAATTGTGTTAACATCCCTTGAGATGCAGAAAACTGAAGTTTAAATTATAATGAAAAAGCAACTGAAAGGATGACATTTGATTCTTCAAAGCAAGTGTCCAAATGAACTCTACAGCTGGCCTCATAGATGTTTTCTGAATGTTTACCCTGGGCTCCTGGAGAAAGAGGAAGGGAGAGAGAGACATGAAAAGAGGGTAGGGGGTGGGTAGGATAAGGAAAGAATAAAACATTTCACTGACCCTGTTGCTTTATTTCCCAGAACGATTCAATACCTCAAGAGGATTTCACTCCAGAAGTGTACAGAGTTTTCCTGAACAACCTTTGCCCTCGACCTGAAATTGATAACATCTTTTCTGAATTGTAAGAGAACAACATAGCATTCAAACCCACTTTTTTTCAGCTTGGGGTGGCTCGGGCAGGATGTATTAAGCAATGGAGGGAGATGGGAGAACTCTTCGGGCACTGTGTACGACAACAATGCTTCTGTGTAATTTTTTGGAAACAATCAACATTCCTACCCCAGAGAGGCAACCACTGCTTTTAATGAGTGAATGTTTGCCATGATCTGTTGCTGGGTATTGGTATTTTAGTATCCGTGGGGGACTTTGCATAGTTTGAAGATTACAGCTAGAATAGAGCATCTTGGCTCAGTGGAGACACGTGATGCAGAAAGAACTCTGACTGGGGAACCAGTCAGGTTACGTCTTGGACATACATTAGTGAAATGAGAATTCTGGATTGCTAAGCACCCTCCTAGAGGAAAGTCATTTGTTTTCATTTTAGAAAATATATAGCCATTCCTTAAAAAAAAAAAAAAAAAGAAAGAAAGAAAGAAAGAAAAGAAAAGAAGCCAAAACACCAGGGCAAATGCAGGGCAGTAGCCATTCACCTTTCCTAGTTCACTGAAATCCACAGGGTGACAGAAAATCAACCCAAAATATATCAACAAAATAAGGATTTTTTTTTTTTTAATGTGGAAGACAGGCCAACAGTGCTAAGAATGACACTGGATATACTCACTTTGTGATGTTCATTGCTATCAACGATGTTTTGAGCATCAGCCATAATTGTACCGTTGAACTTGGCTTTGGGATGTCAATAGGGTTGAAATGGGAAACTTGAACCACACTATGTTGAAGACTTACAGATTTTTGCTAAAGCATAACTTAATGAAAATAAAAATGTATGCAGGTTGTTTACTTTTTTTTTTTAAAGTAGTTAGTAATAAATAGATCTCTAAATGATGAGGTGGGATGTGGGAATTTGATGACTAAACCAGAAGGTTAGTGTCATAATTCAAAAAACAACCCATATGTTCTGTGTTCAGTTGAGAGTGGTGCAGCTTTACACACAAGATGTGCTGTTTTCCTACTGTGGATTCTCTTACACATCTGGTATACTTCAAGGGCACTGAGGTTTGGTGGCAGGGATTGCAAAAGATATTTGCACCCCATAGAATGCAGCAATTGTGATGATGCAACACACGTTTTCAAGGTCAGATGGGAATGTCCAGATAGCATGTGCTTACCAGGGGTGGCAGGATTTTGTTTCTCTATAGTTAAGTGCAAATATATGAATGACACTCGATGGACCAGTATTCTAACTTCTGGTTTTTAATTGGTTTTAGTGGTGCCAAAAGCAAACCATACCTTACTGTTGATCAGATGATGGACTTTATCAACCTTAAGCAGCGAGATCCCCGGCTAAATGAAATACTTTACCCACCTTTAAAGCAAGAACAAGTCCAAGTATTGATTGAGAAGTATGAACCCAACAATAGTCTCGCCAAGAAAGGTCAGTCCACTTTGCCCCACACTGTAGGGAAGCTGTGGTTTCTAATTGCGAATGGGTCACCCCCTGGTAAGTATCAACATCAAGGATTGGTTAGATCTGTTTCCCACATTTGTATGCCTGCTTTCCTTTCTGTCTTAAATCACGAGTGGTTCAATTAGATTTCCGCATGTGATTTTGCGGTTGTTGTTGTTATGTATATATATGCATGTAACATATTTTTTAAGTGTCTAATCATTCATTTTGTCTTAAATTTACCCAGTGACTGAATACATATTTCTCATACAGGAAATCTTAAATGTTGGCTTTTCGGGGGACACCTGGGTGACTCAGTCGATTAAGCATCTGACTCGATTTTGGCTCATGAACTCAGGATTGTGGGATTGAGCCCCATGTTGGGCTCCATGCTGGGTGTGGAGCCTGCTTGAGATTCTCTCGCTCTCTCTAAAAAAAAAGAAACATTTAAAGGTTGCCTTTTTGGCTCTGTTTCTAGAAGTTCTGTAAAATAACCCACAGCTTTCTCTAAATCTCTAAAACTAAACCTAAATCTCTAAAGCTAACCCTTATTTTATTCCAGTTTACACTACTGATGAATTTCTTCACTTGGGAAAATGTAAAATTTGGCCTTTTATATGTAAAAAAAAAAAGTCAGTGTTTGTAGAAAAAATTATTAGTCTAAAAATCAGTATCAGAAATCTCTCGGTTGCCTGGAAGTTAAGAAATTCATGTTTTTTTGATTCTGGAGAAATAAATTGCCAAAATAAGATCATGATGATTTACTTGCTGGGAGTTTCCAATTACACGTGGCATCACATCCCTAAATCAGCTCTTTAGCTTCCTTTTACCACTAAGACCACGTCTCACCTGGACTGACATATCTTCATTGAGAAAACTAGCGTGTTATCACTGATGTTATTATAAATTGCCTAGCTATTCCACAGGGAGGAAAATAAAGTGCAATTAACCAATTATTAAGAAAGATAAATTGCATGTTAATATGAAGGCAGGTCATAAGTAACAAATAATTCTAGCAAGCTCATCATCATTAATAAGTATGGTTATCATAGGAGTAGATTAAAATGCCTTTTAACCCATTGTATTTATTCTGGAATTAGTCCTCTAAATGAAAACAAAAATGAATGTATTAAGTATAAAAGTAAAATATTACCATTAACTTTATCCTACATGCTTTTAGTTGGGAACTCACAGATGAAATTTTTTTGGCTTTTGTTCATTTTCATGGTCAAGCACTTTGCCTTTGTTGTTATCATCATCCTTATCCCTGCCATGGAGGTGAGGCCCGTCAAAGGAAACGGATGACTCAACAGTGTATGTTGGCATCACTAGGCCCACACCCCCTTGAACCTACCTATCCTGACACCCTTCCATCCCCAGCGCCACAGAGATGGCATTTCTCCTTAGCATTATGCAGGGAGTAACTCCTTGCAGATTTCACTGGCACAACTTGAAATCTGAACTTCACCAAACGTAACTAACACGATGATATAACAAATCCAACAAGACCTCCGGAAACAGCCCATGGCACAAAGGAAACAAATAGCTTTTGTGAAACCAGTGAGGCACTTCAGAGCCTAAACTTTGCCGCTTCCTCCCCTTCTCACACCACACTATGAACAATCCATTCCTCAGCCAGCGTATGATGCCTCCATCCGCCATACTCTGACCAAATGCAGGCAGTAGAGAATACAAAGAGAGAAATCTGTGACAGTTATTATAACATTCTATAACCCTGGCAGAACCCATGTTGCCTCTAATGGAAAATTAAGATGATATCTCTTAGCATTTGTGAGTTTATTTAGTGCCATCTTAGAGATACACTAGGTACGAATTTCATAATTACAGCAGGCACACAAATTTCAGGTACATTTAAAATACCAGTTTCATTTGTTTTTCCACAACTTAATATGAAACTGATGATAAGCCTCCATGTTAGCCCTGGTGTGATTTTTTTTTTTTAAATCACAGATTTCATTTCTTAACTCAAAAACTCTTGAAAGAAAATAAACATGAGAGTCATTTTGTTTGCTGCTTTGGGTCTGTTTATGTGAGCAAAGATACTTGAGAAAATTGTTTTATTGTGTTGAGTGTTATTTCATCGTCAAAAGGAGAACGATTTTGAAATCTTTCTTTGTAGGACTAAGAAATTGCTGAGTTAAAAGCTCAATTTGCTAGTAATTATGAGTTTTAATAATATTTTTTATACAAAGAAGAAAATCAATTTTTAAATTTGATTTTGCTTTTCACATTTGATATTTGACTTTAGGATTTTTCCAAAAACTCTCTTTCATATCTTCATTATTTATAACATAGCTACAAGTAAAATCAAACAAAGTGGAATTTAAGAAAGTATTGTTTATTTTCAATATGATGACTCATACAGATTTACAAGGAAATTAGCCTTCATTCATTATATGACTTTCATTTTTTAAAAAAAATTTTTTGAAGATTTTATTTATTTATTTGACAGAGAGAGAGAGATCACAAGTAGGCAGAGAGAGAGTGGGGGAAGCAGGCTCCCTGCTGAGCAGAGAGCCCAATGTGGGGCTCGAGCCCAGGACCCTGAGATCATGACCCGAGCAGAAGGCAAAGGCTTAACCCCCTGAGCCACCCAGATGTCCCATTATATGACTTTCAAAATATATATTATCATTTTGTAAAGAGAAACAAACTAAAATTTGAGGTCAAATGACTTATCTAATATTCATACTAAGATGATCTTTGAGAAAAGAATTTTTAACTTTCAGTCAACTAGTTAATACTTTTTGATGAATAAACACAAAAGAAAATAAGTAGGATATTAGTAGTATATATTAAGTATATTACAACATAATATACTTACGTTGTATACTTACATTGTATTATACTTATAATAATAAATATACTTAGAATAAATTATAAGAAGATGGAAATCAGTATATTACATTATAATTTTTCTGCTACTTTCATTTTGACTAGTTCCTCAAATGTGCATAAGCATTGGTTATATTGACCCACGAATTCAATTTCAGTTTTCTGAAAAAGATACTTCCATATTGCCTGTATTTGTTATAAATTGCTAAGACTAAGATGCATCCTTAATGTATATATGTAACAATATAACTATATTCTCTGATATGAAGAAACTTATTTTTTTAAAGTAGGTGTTAAACAAACAAACTTTACACAAAGTTGCCATATGCTAATGTTTAGTTTTCATATGCACTGCACATAATTCTTACATAGGAGGTAATCTAAAATTAAGTGAAAATTTTTTAATATGACCAAACATCAAAATGCTTAAACTGACCATAGGTTAGTCGACTAAACATAGATGTGTGAAATGAAAAAACAGAAGGGAAAATAGACTTTGATGCCTTGTGGGCCTGTTGTCATTGGCAGGTTGGCCCCATTTCCACGCTGGAATTCTTGTTTTTGAAGACGTCTGTATTGGTGATAAACAATCACAGGGTTTCTGAACAGTGTAAGGCCAAATGTGCATATGTTCGGGCTCCACAAAGAAGAATTTCAACTTCTTGCAGAAAATACTGTTCTCAAGGGAGTTTGGTTAATTTTTATGATTGAAAAATCACACATTGCAAAATGCCTTGGTCCGTAGTGTTGTTTGCACTGGAACAAAATGCGTAATGCTAAACCATGTTTAACACAGGAATACACAATGACCCCAGCCTCTTCCAAACAAAGGGTCCTGAATGTCAGTTTGAAAACTAATGTTTCCCAAAGGGAGTTTGTTTGGTTTCTTTACTCACTTACACCTTTTAGAAGGAAGGCAATGAGTAAAATTAGCATGAAAAGAAGAAATTGATACCCCAGGTAACAGACTACAGATTACAATTGAACTGTTATGTCTGTAAAGGAAGGCCAAAATTCATTTTAAAAAACCAAACCCGGAGAAAACATTGAGTCTGATCACATTTTTGTTTTTCTGTGAAGAGCAGGTGTTTATGAGTATTTGTTAAGCAATTGAATTAATATAGCAGATTATGATATTAACAGATGTTTCTAGCTACATTCCTGTTTTTAATCAGTTCTTTCTCTTAAATTTTTATAATACGTTGTACAAAAGTTCCCTTGTTTTATTGCAATTAAATCGTCAAGATGAAACCATATCATCTCTTTTAGTATTTGATCAGTACTGCCTGAATTAATAGTTAAATAATTGAAATGAACTCAAAATACAGTAGCAAATTGATTTGGTTTTAAGCAAAGCAAATAGAAGTTGAGGTAGAGCAAGCATTTTTGCTTTAAACAGACCTACGCTAATGGTAACATCAGTACCAGAAAAAACGTATTGTATTTTCCAGATACTTATTTTAAATACTTACACAATTGAACTATATTATGTCATTATTGTCAATGGCAAGATGCACCCAGAGTGTGCTAGAGGCAATACGGGGCTTGACACTCTTCCAACCTGTAGTATTAGGTGGAACCCCTACAGTAGAAAAATGACAGAAACTTAAACTGCAGCACAGAAAGAAATTTATTATTGGTGCATATGAGCAAAAAGTCAAGGATTGTTTTGTGTTGATCTCAGCTTATCAAAAACCAATGTTGTCGGGGCACCTGGGTGGCTCAGTGGTTTAAGCCTCTGCTCAGGTCACAATCTCAGGGTCCTGGGATCGAGCCCCGCATCAGGCTCTCTGCTCAGCGGGGAGCCTGCTTCCCCACCCCCCTCTCAGCCTGTTTCTCTGCCTACTTGTGATCTCTCTGTCTGTGTGTCAAATAAATAAATAAAAAGTCTTAAAAAAAAATAACCAATGTTGTTATACTGACCCTTATGGTTCTTATTATGACTGTAGGACGCCCTTCATCAACAACCACCATGTAACTTGGGGAGAAAAAGGTGCTTATTATTTATAAGACCTGGAAAATACTCAGCACATCTGGGACCACACATGGCGGTCACTTGTAGGGAGAGAAAGAGAGTGAAAGAAAGCGTGCCCGTATGCCTAGGGTTCCAAGGGCTCACTCTTTATTGGTGA